GTTTCACCGGTTGCCCCCACAACCAGCACCTGTGCTGCCCTGGTGACTGGCAGCTCAGCTTCCCCCTTCTCACCGCTAGGGCACTCTCTGGGGCCATCCCTGTTCTTAGGCGCAGGGCACCTAAGTGCTCTGGACACTGATACTACAACCATCCAGGTTTATCTTAATCAGTTTATACCATTTTGAAAGCAGTTTATGTGCACTGAACTTGTTGTGGTACAGATTTGAACTAGTTTCTGATCCCTTATGACTGTTTATATGTAATTTCTGTCCCTAGTCTAGAGGAACTGAGTTAGTTTTCTATGTCCTTAAACCTCCTACCACAAAACTAGGGGCTCATATACAAAGGGTTAGTGGGAACACATTTGTGTTGAATGAAAGAAAATGTCAATGAAATATTTCACATCTGTTTATGAAAAAGCAACTTTATATATCGAGGTACTTGAAAAAGTTCCTGTGTTGTTTTCCCATCCATGCATATATGGATATGCATATACATGTATGGATATACAGAGAGCAGCGTTCCCTCTAAGCTGTGAGGCATCCACAGCTGTCCAGACGCACCTGGCAGCATGGTATGAGCTTGCCTACGTGGCCGCGCACACCACACAGCTTAAAGGGAACACTGATGAAGTATATCACAAGTGGGTATATGAAGATACATACATATTCTATATAGAATAGAATGCATGTATGCATGTATAAATAAGTGAATGTGAGTGTTTACATATTAAAAGTCTTATCTTGAACTTAAAAATATGGATCTGCCCTCACATTCTTCTGTATTACCCTCTTTCCTTTTCTCCCATTAATACTTACATTTCTCTTTGGTACTGACACCATTTTCTGACCCCTAAAATTATTATAAAAGTACAAAACAGAAGCAGAATTGTCATAACTGCTGGCCAAGGGAACTGGTTATTGCTTTTATTCTTCACAGTACCTGAAGAAATAGGGAAAAGTAATTCAAATTCAAGTTCCAGTTAGTAAGAGACAAAGGAAAATAATTTCTACTTGATTTAATTAATCAGGCAACATTCCATACATGTATGCACAGTAGCCCCAAACTTATGTGGAATTTCCAGCACCTTTACATTTAGGTGTCTAAATTAGGATTTAGATACTGAAGTGGTTTAATTTTAATTGGTGCTAAGATTACAATTCCATTTGAAGCATTCCCTACTTCTAAAGATTAGAGTACTTACCAAGGTATTTTTTTAGGTTGAAATAACTGACTTACATACCCCTTCCCCCCATTGAGCTTTGGAGATGCTATGAGATTGAGAAACCAAGAGAAATGTGTTCCCAAAGCAGACATCTGTATCAATTTTTGATCGGACCCATACCAATCCATTTTGACATTTTCTAAACAGATATCATGCTCTGGAAGAATTTGTTCAGTTTTCTGACCTAGGGATAGTCCTCCAAGAACTCACTCAATATTTTGGTTTCCTACGAAAGGATATTTGGATGCATTAGCTAGTTTTACAAGACTTCTCATAGATGGAAATATATTTATCAAAGATACTTGCTCCTCAGTTTAATGCTAAGTCCCCGCCACCCCGCAGTACAGACTGAAGGCTAAAACAACTTGAAGCCACACTAGAATGCAGAGCACTGGTACTATTTAGTAAAATTTTGGACTCAGTGGTAAAGAAATATAGCAATTTTTAAGCACAGTGTTAAATTGCTTAGCTTCAGTTTTCACAGCCCTTGGGTACCTCCAGATGAGCACACGCATGTGGTTTGTGGCACCTCAAAACTGTTTGAGGTGCCATAAATCACCTGCAAATCTGCAGAGTGGCATCAAAATTTTATACCAGGAACTCCCAGTATCACAAACATCCACCGCAAAAAAAACCTGGCACAGCGCAAGCTCCAGAAGCGTGTGCCAGCAGACATGGAGGCTGGGTTCTCCAGAGAGACACTTTGGCTGCTGTCCAGAGTGTCTTCCCTCCTTTAATTCTCCCCTAGCTCTTCCAGCATGGCAGGGCTCGAAAGGAGTGGGGGAACATCTGTTCTTTGAAGGGGGATATTTTGACCTCCACCAAAACAAGCACAGGGGCATGAACAGCACCAAAAAGCAAATTTGTGCCATTGCTATTTTAAATATGCACACTTTTCTGGATGTACCCCCTTGTTACTGAGCATTTCTCTATTGGAGTTAATTGAACAACATTTATAACTGCTCAGACAATCTGAGTCAAAAGCTCACAATCAGGCACAGAAGCTCTATTTTTAACTTAATACTACTTTTCCTCTACTGAGGTGAAAAAATACCTTGCATCTTTGGCGTGAGTGAAAGAACACAAAAATACATTTTTCATTTCCATATTTTTGGAACAGTAGTTTGGATGATTGCTACAATGGTATAGTATCTCAATAATCTTATCAGAGATACCTCAATCTCAAACTTCAGATTAAAAAACACAACTGCCCAATGTAAGGGCAACTATGATAACATGAACATAATTTGAATTTATATAATCTGACAGTGGAAAAATACACAAAGCACAGAAGTTGGACTTACCCATATTATTGTCCAGATTCTTTGTTGTAGATAGGTTTTCCCATCTAGTAAATGAAGTTAGGCTGGCTACTGTGGCAGAGGATAAATTACCTAGAAAGATATTAACACCAATCTATTAACAGCCTGCTTGCTTTTATTACTGAAAGTATTTAGAAATCAGTTTTCTATCTAATTTAAGAACCTAATGACCAAGACTAAAAATCAGATGCCAAAATCTAAATCTAAGATACAGACACACATCAATATCTGAACAAAATTTTGATTCATGATACACTGGATAAAAGCAAGCCTTTATAAAAAATCAAGTAGAACAACATTTGTGCAAAAACAATGGCACAGCACTTCTATGAAAGAGAAAGCATTCCACCTGCTCTATATAGATGGAGTAATGGAAACCAAGAGAAATTAGGTTACTTTGTAAAGTCAAATGGAGTCTGACAGCAAATCCAGTAATATAACCCCAGTCTCCTAACTCCAAGTATTGTGTCTACACCACAAATACCATCCTTTGTTTGCTTGTAAACAGTTCCTTTCCCTTCCTACTCTTACTAAAATAGCTAAATAGTATGTGTTCTCATGACTGGTACTGCCTTAGGACATTTTTAGTTTTTTTCTGTACCAGTCCCTCTAGTTCATGACATTTTCCAAATTAACACCTACAATACTTAACCAGATGACGACGTTTGTATGAGAACTGACAGCACTTACCATGAGGTGGGGTTATATTTTGACTATGATGGGTTGTACTCATGAAGCTTTGTTGGGGTGCAGTAGTAGAGGCATTCCTTCCTGTATAAAACAATCATTTCCAAATTACATTTTACAAGCTGTTATTGCTACCTCAGCATTAGCATTGGTACTTTATGGTACTTCTCCTCTGACACTAGTAGCAAATGAAATAACAGACATAACAGAAAAAACACTGGCACCGTGGTGGGTACTTAAATCTAATATACCCAAATGTAAATGCCATTGCTTAAACAAGCAGAAAATGCTGTATTTATTCACATACCACATGCACCCTTCCCTCACCCATCAAATCAACCCTCCAAAATTGGGGTGTGCCTCTTAAGCAGGGAAGCTAAATTTTCCTCGCTGGAATAGAAGCAGGGTGGAATAGAGCTGCCAGTCATAGCTGCCACTTTTCTCTGGGGCTGCAAACTGTAAGGGAAGAGTCCAGTGTTAACTCTTTCAGCCACTGGTGGCTTTTGGTTGAAAAGCAACTGAGCTGGGTAAATGAGCTGCTGAATGCACTCTGTAGTATCTTGATGAGGCTTGTGGTGTGGAAACAACACTTTATTATTCACGGCATCTTGTGTAAAGAATTATTTATAGTAAAGAAGTGACCATCTTGCTGCTACTGCCCTAGGGCCTAGTGTTGTGGCCATTCTGTCATACCAGAAAGTCCCTCCTGCCTCACCCAGACTCCTGGGATACCATATTTCCTGAACACTTTATGTTACATAGTTTCATAGACATTAGGGCTGGAAGGGACCTCAGAAGATCACTGAGTCCGGCCCCCTGACCCAGGGGCAGGAAGTCAGCTAGGGTCAAAGGATCCCAGCAAGATAAGTGTCCACAAGCTTCTTAAAGGAGTCCAGAGTAGGTGATTGCACCACCTCTGGAGGGAGTCTATTGCAGGTATTGGGGGCTCAGAGAGTAAAGAAGTTTTTCCTTATGTCCAGTTGACTACAACTCTGGAAAAACCTTTTTTCTACATTCGGCCTTCCAACAAAGAAGATGCATTTCATCTGGCTGGTGTAAAGCACGTGAGAAAATAAGGTACAATATTTGATACAAGCTTTCTCAATGGATTTCTACAAAATGAAGTAATTTGTTTGACTTTTAATGAGTCAAACGTTGTGACAGTCTTAAAAGAAAAACATCAGCTCCAGCTTTGGAGAGAAGGTCATGGTCCTTCTTTTACTCAAACACGTTAAATGCTCAGTTCCAGAAAGGATGAGTGTTTATTGCTGGATTTTTATAACACCTCTGCCTAGTGAAAATGTTTAGCTTTTCAGGGGAGAATACCAAAAAGCCCTACCTACTTATTTTTGGATTTACTGTTTGCATTAATTCAGCATATATCAATCCCAAATGAGATTAATCCCAATTGCGTTAGTACAGTGTCTAGCACAATGATGCACAGTCTGCCTTAAAGAACTTGAAACATAAATGCACATAAATCATGACAAAGACAGGAAATATTAGAAATCATTCTGTTACCAAGACAGAGTGACTTTAAGAACAAAAATACTCAGTACAGCTCTCTCACAACATTTTAGTTTCATATTCTATATTTATGCCATAGCTCAACACACTGCTACCAGGCTTTTTACCATATAGGTTTCATGAATTCATAGCTTCTCTTTGCTTTCTCTAAGAAATTTTATATAATGGTTCTACCTATGATCTAGTTTAATGTTATCACTATGCTACTAAACATTTTTAGTTTCAATTTTGCCACTGACTCAAGTGCTTCCATAACACATCTGCAGATTGAAGTCCACTTTGTATCTATTGACACACACCCTCAGAGAGGGATAACTTCCCTCGAGTGCCTAGCCAGGGAGTCACAAACCTAATGTGAACACAGTTATTGCCTTCAAGGCTAAGTACAAGCAGTCAAAAAGCCCGAGGCTGAATTGATTCAGTCTTTGCAGATTAGTCTAAACTGCCGAGATTAAACTGAAACAGAAGTGAATAGACATTCAGGAAATGCAGCCACATGCCTGCAGTAGCTTATGCCTGCAGAAGCTGAGGGGTGCTGTAAAAACGGCTCTCTGGCACCTCCAGTATGGGCTGTGTTTGCTTTCTCTTCCTGCTGTCCCCAAAGGTTTCTGGGATTTGCTGCTTCTTGCCCAAATTCACAGCAGTAAGACTCTGCAAAGTTGCTCACCACTTCCTCTTCCTGCTTCTAGGTGCCTCTGGGATTTGTAATCCACAGTTGCAGCCAGCAGTAAGTATGAGCAGGGGAAGGGGTGTTTAACCCCCCTCCCTGGCCCCAGACCTCAGTCAGGGTTTGCTTGTTGGGGTAGTCCTCCCCTGCCTTGCAGACTGGCTGTATCCCCAGCTGGGCTTGCCCTCCCACCCCCTTGTCAGCCAGCCCTTATTGCCCCAGCTAGAGAGCAGAGGGGTGGGGCCAGCCTTGCTCTCTGGAGAAGACAGCATAGCCCAACCCAGGGCTGCAAAATATTTTGGGATGCTAGGTGACTGCTGCGATTTAACTTGAACCAGGAAGAGGTCTAGGACAGAAGTTTCATAAACTAGTTTGACCCAGATCAGTTAAGTCTGATACTACATTGAATGAGGTTTATTTTAAACCAGTTTCAGCCATTTTGAAACTGGTTTATATGCACTGAGCTTCTGTTCTGTTACAGGTTTAAACCAGTCTCTGATCACTTAAACTGACTTATCTGCAACTTCCGTCCCTAGCCTAAAGGTTAAACAGTTACGGAATCTGGATTACCCTTTGAGAGGAAATGCTACCATATCTGACTTTCTTTCACAATGTTTAAGTCCAACATTTTTCTGTATCGGAATGGCAAAATCAACTTGAGATCTGATTATCAGTGGAGATTAGCCACACTAAACCCAGTCTCTAATATTCCCTGGGGACCAATGATTGTGTTCTGTAGTGGGATGACCAGTCGCAAAATATAATGCTATTTGCTTCACAACATAGAGTATGTCTAATATTGCACAAGAGATATCAATTTAGCTCCAACTAAAGCTTGCAGATATTGATATTTTATTCCAAAACTCCAAAAACAGAAGATTAGGGCTGATTTGGATTTATTTGCCATCTGTTCATCTCTGGTGGAGATTAAATTTATTTATTTTTAGAAGCCATTTTTTAGCTTGTTACATATGTCTAAGTGTGATGAAATAAACCTGTGGGCAACAGGGGTGCTCATATTAGCAATTTCTATCAAGAATATGGCACACTGTATTACTTCATATGAGACTTTGCATTATAATATAATGTAATCATTGAAGATGCGTTTCAGAAGGAAGGATGGACTGAGCTATTGACATTTGTTTGATCATATGTTAATATATTTTTTGTGGGCCATTACACAGAGGATGATTTCCCACAGAGAATTGTTTTCTTACAGCTATAAGGCAGGCTTTCACGCCAACTTTAAAGAGCTAACAATCATGAAAAAAAAAGTACTTGAAGACTGGTTGGCTTAAGTAAATGGTTGTGCACTATGAAGTCTTTCCCAGGTAGGATAAGATGTTGCATTTTTCTTGAGACAAGTTGTGCCTGTGTTTATTCTAGAGTGGAAGAGTCCCGGGATGGGTGTGTATACACATTGCCCTTCCAATCCAGGTTTAATGAGAGTGGCTGAATGACTGGCTTTCTGCCTTCGATTCAATGATGCAATCCTGGGACAACCACTCAGACAAACTTGTGATGTCCCAGGACAGGGACATTGCAAACAAGAGCTAACCCTTGATATCATGTAAACCTTTTTAGGGTTTATCCTGGGTCAATAGACATGGACATCTGAATGAAACTGCTAATGATTCCTCCCATGACAAATGATGATGTCTGTTTGTTTGTAGCCTCAGAGTAATGACTGAAGATCATTATCAGCTGCTGGCCAGTGACAGCTACATTAAGGTATCAAACCATATCCTTAAGCCTCCTACCGCACTCATGACACTCTCTACAGAAAAAAAAGACTAAATGAAGGGACAATGAAGACTCAGTTACCATCTGCCATTAGAGAGAATACCTAGTCCCCTCTGGATTTGAAGCATAACACAAGGTCAGAGGTGTAATAGAGCAGCCTGGCACTGGAAGGGTGGTTGAGACGGGGTGGGGGCGGGACTTCTGGCTGCTGAATTTGCTGGCATAGATGTGCAGCTGCTGGGGCAGATGTTCTTTTTCTGTTTCCTCCCCAAGTCAGTACCTGGGGTTGCTGTGTGGGTTGCCCTGCCTTAGTTACAACACTGTGTGAGGTCCATCTGTATTGCTTGTATATGCATGTAGAGTCTAGCATGCTATATAAAGCTCATGAAAAGTTCTGGGTAACATATAGGCTAAGATCTTACCAAACAATAATAAATCTAAAAATATCTGTGTCATTTACTTACTCAAGGGTGTTGTTGTCTCACTTGAAGATGTAGAATTGCCATGACCACCTGTGTCTGTTGTAGGATTAAGCTGGCCTGTTGGAAGAGGAACACTTTGCAAAAGTTGCTCTACAGAAATATTGCCATTTCCCTTTCCCATGGCATTGTTCCATGACAGACAAATGCTCATGATTTCCCTATTTAGTAGTAGTTGTGGTTAATTCACAGACAAACACATTTAAGGAACAAATGGGTATTTCAGCACAAAACTTTGCTGTGAACTAGGAACACAGAAGGACTGTAATTGACTAGGTTTGTGAAAGTTTCTAGGGAAGCTAGTCTCAATTTGACACAAACTACACCTGAAAATTTCATCTGAAGTCTGGATGCTTTGGATTGAATGTTGGGTCTTGTTTAAAGATGAAGCCAGTAAAAGATGAGGGCAAACACAGGTAAAATTGTGGAAAAGGGTACATGGACTTCTATCACAGAAAGTCAGGATAGGAAGGGACCTCAGGAGGTCACCTAGTCCAACCCCCTGCTGAAAGTCCCAACTAGATCATGCCAGCCAAAGCTTTGTCTATCTGGGTTTTGAAAATAATATGAAGCCCTTATTTTTCCAGCTCCAGTGAGCAGATATTTTAAAGGGTGTGAGAGTTCAGGAATCCTTTCTGAAATACAATACTACCTCTCTACTCATTTAAGAGTTCAGAAAGAATCAAGCAAAATGCTTAGTATTCCTAAGCATATCCTGAACCAGCTACTTAATCAGACATTCAAACTCTGACACAAAGCAAATAGTCTTCCCAAAACCTCTATTTACCCAGGCTTCTTTCAGACTTGCTAAAGAAAGTCAAACCTTCCTGACACCTGTCTGCACTGTGCCATCTAAGAACTGGTGCAAGCATAAGAAGGTGAGACAAAGCTATTACCTAACACTCAAAATCTAGGCATCTCTGGTGTTACACTTGAGGGATTAATAAAGCAGCTAAGCGAAGAACAGGTTGCACTTTCAAGAGGTCTTGTTCTGCCTTCCCCAATCTATTTGTGTTCACTTGTAACACTTCCTTCATCCCAGCTGTCTTGTGGATTTCCATTAAGAATACATGAAATAAGAGAAGCTAAATCAAACAACTTTTGTACTTATGAAGATTTAGAGGGCAAATCCTCTACACTTCCTAACTCAGCTGCTTCCCAGAGGAAAGGGTGACATGGATGTGGAAAGAGATGAGGGAGTTAGAGAGGATGAAGTGGTGTTAATGCAGAACACTTCACAATTCAAAGGCCCCTAACGCCCTGCTCTACAATGCAACTGTAACTGATTCCTTTGATTTAGTTACCACACAGCTATTTCCTGATCTGGTCCCAGGGGACCAGCTGTGTGGAGGTTCTGATTACACCACAACTTTTTCACCCATGCTTTCTGAACTCTTTACAACACATGTTCCTGCTAAGCTGGCAACTCAATTATGTTGGTAGTATAGTATTAGCATTAACTGCTCAGCTCCCTTATACTTGTGTAATATAGGGCAAGATAGAAGGCTCATTTTATTCAGCAGCTCTCTGCCTGTTCCTGTATAACCCAGATGACTGAACCATCTTATTGTGTGTATATTGCCAACAGAGTTTTGCACTATTTTCTTCCCTCCAGTATGTAGTTTACAATTCTTTTCTTCCTCACTATTTACATTGCCAGTGTCTTTGTGGATATCTGTTGGGCTGTATTTTATGGAACCTTAACTGTAGCGCTTAAGTATCCTATGTGATACATACCAGAATCAAGTGGAGTGGTCTGTTCCTATCAGATTTAAGTTTGTGAGTGTTAAGCTGCTAGAGGGGCAGTCATATATTTAGGGCCCTAATCACCTTTGCAATAAAGAGAATTCCTGCTAACTTGAAACAGAAGTTACACGGCCCAAAAAGGCTGTTTATCCCAAGTAAGACATTTCTCTTCAAGGAAGACAATGAGCTTGATATTACAAGGAAATATAGAACTAAGTATGGTGTATGCCATGATAACCAATTAACAGCCTTCATAAATCTCTGCCTTCCAAAAACCTGCATTGTATTTGGTTGTGACAGCTGTAATTAAAAGAAATGGACTGTGGAATTATGGCAACAGTAGATTAGAGTAACACATGACACCAGAATAGAGTAAATTTACCCAAGAGAGTAAACTTAAAAACCAGAATCAAGCAATGCTTTGCACATAATCCCCTTCTTAGAAGTTTAAAATGACTGAAGGCAAATGCTAAACATACAGATATTGCTTGCAAGTCAATATTAGAATATATAAATGCATTGTCATCTGCGAGCCATGCCTATGGTGGTATTGTCAGGAAGATGGGGATTAGGAGTACTGTGTAGCATTAAGTCTTCTCCATACTCTTAGGAATGACATTTTTTACTATAGGGATGTCCAACTTCTAAGTGGCTGGGGGTCAGACACTGCCTGATGCGCAGGCAGCCTCCAACATGCACATGCACACTGCTTCAATCTGCACATGTGTGACCACTCAGCTCTCCCACTGCACCATGCCACAGGCTCCCCCACTGCTGTGGGTGGAACCCCTGCCCCTGGACTGGGAGCAGGAAGCAAAAGCTTAGGAAGGTGCATGTGCGGGGGAGAGGGGGGTGGGGAGGGATGGAAAACACCTAGAGACCCTGGTTGCAGCAGCCACATGTGGCCCATGGGCCACCAGTTAGGCAGTCCTGCTTTACTGCATGTAGTTCATCTTTAAAATACTGGAGCTGTTTGTACAACATTGGACTATGAGACTGAGTAGATAGGGAAGGGAAAAAAAACTTGCCTAATCTTGGAATTTATAAGCTACCAGCCCTTTAGGAAAGGGCAAACAACTAGGCCTCAAAATGGGAATATCCTCTAAAAAGGCAGTGTTTGAAAGGGGTAGGGGGATGCTTTTTCCAGGGAGACTGGAAAAAGCATCCCCACCTCCTCCTCCCCACAATTACTAGCCAAAACAACCTCTCTATTTTGAGATCCCACCAAAACACATTCAAGGCACAGACAGAAGAGCAGCTCCCTTTTTTATCTCATGGAGCTTTGCAGAAAGCACCATGAGTTACAACAATCCCCCAAACCCAGCAGAAGTTGCTGTCATGTCCCCGTGTCCCGGGGGTTGAGGAATCCAGCTGCTGGCTGTCAGCCTGCAGCTGGTTTCCCCTAGCAATGCTCCTTCCCACTCCCAGCCCTGATGCTGTTTTCAGAATGGGAGGGGGGACAGGAAGCAGAGGAAGCTCATTTTGGGGGTTCCCCAGGCAGTGCTGGAGGGTGGGATGGGTGGATTAGAGCACCCCCACCTCAGGGGGCCCCAGTCTACCTGCCCCACCCTCCAGTTCTAGTTGAAAAACCCCAGATCAAACTCTCTCCACTCCCTTTCCCCCCTCCAATTCTGAAGATAGTACCAAAGTAGGGCTGAACTGCAGTCAGCTTTGCATGCAGACACAACTTACTGAAGTAAGTTTTGGAGCATCTTCACCTGCACCTACATGCAACGATAGTTCAGAGTTTCACAGGATCAGGCCCTTTTAAAATGCTCTGCAGTTGTGTATTTTTGTTTGGCTGTAGAGCACTTTCAGGGACCAGATCAGGCAAACGTTGTCACTTCTGTCTGCACTTACAAGGTGAGAGGCTTAGAACTTAGTCTACTTTAGATTTATCTGTTGTAGTGTTGTCAGGTGTACAACAGATATTTGTTGCAAGTTAATCCCTCCAGGAGAGTGGGATTAAAACTTAATACTTCCAAGTAAGTCACACTTCACTGTGCAAACTCCACTGTCAGCAAATCCCCATGGGGTCTGCCACAGAGAGAAAAGAGAAAAAAAAGCAGAGTCATACACTGTAAATTTGTTATTTACTACTGTACTGTGCATATGCTCTGTTGCTCTGATACTTAGTTTCATTTTTTTCTAGCTGTAATGTGATTCCATTTCTACATACCATCATGTGTGTATGTATATGTTGGGCAGGGGGATAGTTAAGTAAATCCACTTTCAAAAACTAATGCATATTAGGGCTGTGCAAAGCTTCGGTCACTGATTTGATTTGGCAGAGATTTGACCTGATTCGGTGGCCAAATCTCCGAATCGAATCAGGAGACCCTTTAATTTCTCCGAATTGAACCAGAACCCTCTGAATCTATTCGGAGAGATTTGACAATTTGGACAGACACTGCTTTAAGTGTTTTTTCTACATACCTCAAGGTAGCAGGCAGCTCATAAATGCCAAGATGCTGGGGCAGATGGAGCATCCCACAGCAGTGTGGGGGACTCCCCAGCATACATGGCAGTGGACCTGAAGTACTTCTGGTCCACTTCTGGGTCCACTGAGGAGTGTGCAGGAGTCCCTCCCCACCTCCCCAGCTCAGTGACTGGTGCCTCTTGGGCCTGGGGGGGCACCAGGGGTCCCCCCATGGCCGGTTGACTGGTACCTTGAGGTATGTAGAAAAAATATTTAAAGCTGTGTCTATGGCTGAATCTCTGATTCTCTGAATCAGCATCAAATCTTCAGATTTGGATTTGGACAAATCAAATTGGGACAGTGATCCGAATCACTGTCCCCGATTCAGGATCTGAATCAAATGTGGCCTGTTTTGCACACCCCTGCATATATCCTGAAACATAAAAATATAATATAAGAGCAGAGCAGCATTTTTCACATCATTTTATTCTTAAACTCTCACGTATAACAGAGGAAAATGGAAACATAGCTATTGTTTTAATTTAGAATGAGTGCTCTTTCACAAACCCCTTTCCTCCCACCCCCAAAACAAGTCCTTGTATGCCTCACTGGAATATGAATTAATATAACCACTGGTCATTGCATACAGAAATCACACAGAGGCCCTGCTAACAGCATGAACCCAAGTAGGCCCAAAACAAATACAAAAACTAGGCATACCATATATGGCTTGAACAAATGCTGGGAAAGTATTTCATTAGTTTTAAAGGAACCTCTAAGGCTGATAGATAGAAAGTGAATTAATAAAATAAATACAGAACACCAAAACAAAGACCAAAGTATCCCTATCTGATGGGAAGTTTACACTAATTGGTGAGAAGTCAAGGATGTGGATGATGCCATCTAAATGTTTTAATAATTGGTAAGCATTAGCATCTGCTTTGATTAATGAATAAAAAGGGAACTGGGAACCCTTAGTACTTTGTACTGGTCCTAGGGGTTATGTCCACGCCTGTACCATGCCTGCAAATGACCTGGCTAGCACCACAGACTAGCTGGTCATGGATATTAGTGTTTAGGTTCGTTTGTAGACAATATCCCTGGCCAAGCTCTATCACTGAGCCAGAGCCTTTTTCCTATAAACACAAGGGCACAGCATCACAAATGGTATCCTGATAGCTCATTCACAGGCCATCCCAAGGAAGGGAGCCTGATGTGACTGGCAACACCTAAACCCATAGCAACACTGATGGAGTCAGATGACAAGACTGAAAGTCTGCCATGACTATACTGGTGACCCCTGATATCAAGTACTGAATGTCTACATATGTAACTTTTGTTACACTTCAGACTATAGAATAAGTCTGCATTATTCCTACCTTGTATGGTGGATGCAGGTGCCGAGGTCCCATCACTTGTAAAATATAGGGAAGTTGAAGGTGTAGGTTTAAGACCTACAGGGGGGGAAAAAAAAAAACCACTGTATGGTATCTATTTAGCAAGGTGCTTATTATTCAAGAGGATCTCAAGGATCGATGGTCTACAGACAGCCTAAAGCATATTTACCTTGCGATGTTAAAATAGGTGCTGAAGTTACTTGACTTGTGAAATCTAGGGAGGCTGAAGTTTTTGTTCTAAGGCCTACAGAAAAAAGGACATTGTACAGTATTTGATTAGCAGGGCTCTACTATACACATTACAAGAGGACCTATAGCAATGGTTCCCAATTGGGGTATGCAGCATCCTGGGGTGCCATGAGAACCTACCATGATGCTGGCATTGCTACCACTGCCAGAGAGTAAAATTCTCTGAACTGAGAAACAATGACAACAGAAAGTTGTGTTGCCTGCATGACATTATGCAAGCAGACATGCTATTTCTGCTGCAGCTTTTCCCAGTTCACCTCTGATGTGCATCTTGAAAACAGGTACACAAGACATTTTCATCCTGCAGCAGCAGCAACTTGGAGGAGATAAATGCCACTGGCACCAGATAGAACTTGCATGCCTCTATAATGCAATGCAGGCAACTCACCTTTCTGCTGTAGCCATTTCTCAGTTCAGTTGTCCTGCTTCTTGAAAACAGGTGTGTGCAGAACTGTTTCATCTGTCCTGAGCACTTCTGTTTCTGTGAGACTTAACAGGGTCAGACTGGAAAGGGCTGCAGCTGCCACAGCCACTTTCCAATCTGGCTCTACAGGAGGTGTGCAGGGCGGATCTACCTGGTCATGGCAGTGGTGTCAGTGGAGTGAGCATAATGTAATTATAAGGATCTGATCAGTGAATAAATAATTACTAATTAGCAATATAGTTATAATGTTTATGTTCTATTAAATATTAATACAAGTATATTAGTTTCTTTCAAATGGGGTGACATGAAAAGTTTTGGAGTGGTGCCTAGAGTCTAAAAAGTTTGAGAACTGTTGACCTATAGAATTGAAGGTCAAGACAACCAGAATCATATTTACTTTGCATTGTGGAAACAGGTACTGAGGTTACTTGATTTAAGAAACTTAGAGAAGCTGAAGGTGTACTTTGAATCCCTTCAAAAATACAAGTGACATCATATGGCATATGGTAGGTTGGGTGTTTATTATTATCCATATTACAAGAGGACCCAACAGCTCCAAGGTCCAGGCAATGAGCCAATATATAATTAAAAGTTTATTTCAAGGAGCTTACTGACAAAAGTTTAGAAGTAAAGGCCTTTGAGTTTTATATGAAGCAGGTATAAAACTGACTAGGCTGTCAGAATAGGATGGGGTTAATACTAGCCGATGGGGTTAATACTAGAATGTACTCTGTTCTGCTTAATATGTTCTTGTGCAGTGAATTCTATATACTTTATATTCCTATTATTGGGCTAGAAACTGCCTTTCCAGGTATTGTCTGGACATCACAGACCACCGAAAGGGCTTGAGGAATATCAAACCCTGGAAGGTGTTTACCTACACCACTATAGAAGGAGAAGTAGGATATAATCAAGATAACATTAGCTATCTCCAAATTTATTCTGGTAAATGAATAATAGCATTATTTTTTAATGGGTCTATAAGGCTGTCATGCTAAAACACCTCCGTGCACGAATGCATTTCTTTCTTTAACACTATCACTTATATGTATCCAATGCTTATATGTGTGCACTACTTATTCATGAAGCTACATCACTGAGATCCATTATCAAATTGCAACATCTAAAGAGATGTTGATAGATTGCTGTAAGTTAAGTGGAAGACACCAAGTTAATTTCATTTGTGCCCAACCAGTCATGTTATAAAGACATCAGTTTGCCAGACAGGCCAAAGGGAATGCAACCTGACAGTGATGATAGAAAGTTCAAGTGTATGGCACCATTTCTAGAGCACAAATTAATTTGTTGAATATGAATGCGAGATCATTCATTTCATTAAGGGCAAAAACATACAAGGCGCCTATACACATTCATCAAGGCTGCTCCAACGTGCTGTAATTACAGTGCATCAAAGCAGACTCGATTAATCAAGTCTGCTGGAGCGTAGTAATTACTGTGCTCCAAGCTCCAGCGTCAGGTGTATCAGTGTCCCCATGCTGAAAAATGGTGTTGAGGGTGCTTTAATTAAAAGCTGTTTGACGAATTGCTCTAATTAAAGCAGCTCCCCCCACCCCGCCACCTCCCTGAGTGCTTGTGTAAATGCCAACACTTATCGTGTTGGGGGCAATGTAATGTGCTACAGTCATACTAAGTTTTCAATTCAGCATTTTATCATTTTGACATCTCAAGTAAAAACAAACATCACGCAGCTCTCCCAGGATGTGTTATGTCTTTTCTAGCTTAGTTATAGATCATAGCCTATAGGGTTAGGTACAGGCATTACACCTATTGGGCTCTAAGTGCACAGGAAGAGCTCTAAAGCCATAACTAAATGTTCACAGCTCTTAAAGTGCTTTAAAAATGATGAATTGCACTTTAAGTTGACCCTCAATGGATGAAGTATTAGACTAAAGCGATTTTTGTTAAAGCACTTTAATGAACATCTGTTACAGATTCCATCAAAGGTTAACTTAAAGCATGATTGTTGCCATTCCAGGTGACATTGCACTGGCCCTGCCCCCTCAGCTGTTACTGACCCAGGTCAGTAACAGCCTCTGATCCCAGCCCCGTCTCTTCCCTCCAGCCAGCTGTGAGCCGCAACCAGCCAGAGGGAGGGAGGGGGATCTCTCTCCCCACAACCACTCCAGCCTCATGTGGCATGCTACAGCCTGGCTGGGAAGGCCATAGGAGGAGCAGCCTTGGCTCTGCAGTGCACCATTGCCTGGTTGGGGGGAGACAGGGGCTGTGGGGGAAGAGGTTCTGGGCTCTTTATCCCCACAACAGCCCTGGTCCCATGGCACACTACTGCCTAGCCAGGAGTGCTGTAGGGACACAGAGCTAAGACTCCTATTCCCCACCTCTCCCTGGGGCTGGCCAGGAGGGGCCATGGCAGAAAGGATCCAAGGTCTTTCTCCCCATTGCATCCCCAGCCCCACAAAACATCACTGCCTAGCTGGTGGGGATTGTAGGGAAAGGCTCTCAGGTTGGTATCCCCCAGCTGCTGCTGCAAGTTATCACCTGGGAGAGGGGCAGGGCTGAGGAGAGGGACCACTCTAGCAGCCTCCTGGGAGGTGTGTGGGAGTGCCCCCAGTGGCCAGCGTGGGCAGGCTCCAAGCTCCCCCAAATAGCAAACATCTGTTTGCTTCGCTCATACTCTAACTTATACCATTTTAAGTAAAGCACAATAAAAAGCTTCTGCCAGGGGCTTTTTGAATGTCTGTATTTAGTCTAGATTTTCATCTTATGGTGTTACCACATCCCACTGTGGCATGAAAATATACTGAGCTGTGATTATTCACCCTGCCTCATTGTGTACATTCTGCTTAAGGACACAGGAAAAATAAGTAATTCATATTAACTGAAGAATGGAATGAAACACTTTACCTCTGGTGGTCCTCATGGCTGATGAACGTGTTGATACACCAGGGTCTAAGAGCAATCAAATCAAACAAGACCTCATTAAAATAGCCTTTTTGGTACAGCTAAGTCTCGTGTGAAGTTTGAGAAACTAGGGTCACTAAGGGTGCCCAAGTGACAAGGAATTACACAACCTCAAACTGATTTTCCAGAGCAGCCAATACAATCAAGTGCAGAAAGACATGAATGAGGAAAGGCTCAGATGACAGTTGCACCTGTGGAACATGATTAGAGGGAGTACACTAACAAATTAACCTGCCATCAATACAAAATCCACATGCAAAGGTCTGACCCACTCTGCAGGGATGTGCATGTGTGCGCATGCTCATGCACATTAGGAGATGCCGTTTGGGAGAAGGATCAGCAAGATGTGATGGTGTGTGTACTATATCTTTAAAGGGGGCCACATTCTCACGCTTCCTGCTACTGCCCCAGCCTTCTCTGCTCTGTGCCAAGGGCTGGTCTCTTGTATTCCCCTGCACCTCTGATCATCTTCACCACCGAATCATCTGTTGTCCATTATTTTTGGCCACTTTTTCAGTGGTGCGCAGTAAAGAGAGACTGCATTAGGAAGGCATGGTAAACCAGCCCTTGGGACACGGCAGGGAGGGCTGGGGTGGTTGAGATTGGGTAGGTGACCCACTGTTTTAAAAGGTTGCCAACCCCATCTTCGCATACTGCACTGGTCAGTCAGTGCAGCACCTCCCACAGGGTGCTTGGGATGGAATAATTAGCTCTACTGAATAACAGTACCAGGTAGCTCCATCTACAAGCTTCATAGCCTAGCTACATGGTTGCAGCTACACTTCATGCGGTTTAAAAAGCAGCCTGCCGGAAGCAGCGTAGCATGCCTGAAAGCTCTGCCCCCGAGCACATCCATTTCCTGTGCAGGCTTAGTCACAGAACTCATAAACCATGAAACCATAAATCTACTCTGTACCACCTGCAGGCCACTTCTGAGTGCATGTCCCATTGCTAGATTGCTGCTGCTGACAGGGTTTTATAGCTGTCCCTTCTGCTCTGTTCATACTCTGCGGATTCCAGCCAGCTGTTCACTCCTCATGGTTTTCTGTGCTCCTCTAAGGTCTAGGGCATGGATGACTCAAGGAGGAGCTTAGTGTGATAATAGCAGAATACTTAGATTCCCTTAATGTATGTAAAATACTAATACTTTGCTGGGAATGAGACATTCCTGATACTAATCTTCAAGCCAGTACTGTTTTTTCTGCCAGCACAATCCTGCTGATTTCAGATACATATGCAAGTTACTGTTGGCATACCAAATAAAAAGTGTAAGTCTAGTAAACACCAAGGAAAGAAAGTAATCATTTAGCTTGCTACAGAAGTATGTAACTGAGAGTAAAGGGATGAAACAGAAATGCTGTTTTATGCCAGAATTCACTGTACTGTTAATGAGGAAACCAGCGTATTCATTAACAATAGACAGCAGGCTTCTTGTATTGATTGAAGTTAAGCTTCTAGTAATTTTATCTAACATGATTTAATATAAATGCAGTCCATACCTAGGTTACCCCAGTGACTCAGTAACAGTACTTCATGTCAGTGTTTCTCACCCCATGGGTCGCAAACAAAAAGTGGGTCCCACAAATATATGAAAGGGTCATGAACAAGCTTTAAAAATGGGTCAACAAACTTTAAAAGCAGATTCTCCTTTAAAGGAGAAAAATGTGGGAAATGGTGTTTTTTCCCTTGCAGGCTGGCAGAGTTCCCGCCTGCAAGGGGCTGCTTGGGGCCTCCCTGCCCCCCTCTCCCATCCTGCCCCACCCCTTGACAGGTGCCCTGTCCCTTGGTTGCCGTCTTGTGATTGGA